ATTGCCGTAGCTCTGCACTGCCCCGTTCAACAGGTAGAGTACGAACAGCATGTTGAGGGAGAAGCCTGGGCTTGAACCACCTAAGATATCAGTAGACCAGCAAGGAAAAAGGCTGCAAGAATTGAAACCTGAAGCACAGAAAAATTAACCATCCAAGGAAGATCAGAGTGCTCTAGCGTATTATTTCTGAAAAAGAAGATTTAGATTTTCTGTTTCGATATCATGGCTCTTAATTCCTTTATATGCATACATTTATTATACAGAATTTTTAAAAGGCTGAAATTAGAATCAAAGATTTTGATTATGTTAAGCCTTTGGTATGACCCTAATTTCCTTTTCTTTTTTTTGTTTGGTTTTTTTTTTCCTGGAAATTACTATGGCTTTGTTTGTTTGTTCCTGTTCCGTTTAACAGAAAAATCCTCTGCAACTGCAGAATTTCTCATAAAACAGAATTCTCTTATTTCCCAGCCAGCTCCGTCCACCACCTCTGCTTCATGCAGTGACTGCTAACAGGGGTCTTGGACATGCCCTTTGCAAGCTGCAACCAGGCACAAGCCCTGGCGTTTTTGCACACAGGACGTATGAGAAAAAGGTGGAAGTTTGACGCGGAAAGAAGTCTCTCACAAGCTCTCACTCTGGGGGTGAATTTCCCTGTGCAGTGAGTGGGGACTATAGCAGGGGAGCCCAGGGGATGGCAATTGTCAGGCAAACTGATGGACCAGTGCATTCTTTGGCCAAGACTTGTTTTGCTCTTGCTGTTCCAAAGTGCCAAAACATTGAATTGCATGATGGCTGTGACAACTCTAGTATTAAAAGCTTGGAGACCTATATAAGTCTTGAGTTTTAGTCCTTGCAGGAGTTGCAAAGTTTATTTTCAGTGCTGGTATAATTCGCCCCCCTGCCCCTTAAGTAACAATAATACAAAAATGAGGAAGAATTTCCTATATATTTTTGTTCCGTTTGGGCTTTGCTTCCTCTTATTAAACTGTACCTGATCAGAGTCATAGGGTTTGCTGTCTCCTAAAGCCAGATCTAAACACCTTTAAGGGAGAGCAGATGCAAGAGAATCATTACTGTATTTATCTATTTTGACAAATAAAGGATATTTAATAGGTTTGGAGGCTGGTTGTTTACAAAAAGGAACGGAGCGTGACAGTACTTGTAGCTTGGAATAGCAAACGTATTGAGGAAGGTTGCCCACTGCCCACCGACTGCGTGCAGAGCACACCCCTGGACAGACTTCCTGCACTCGTCGGACATTGCAGCAAATTCCAGTCTAAATAAAGCCACAGAAGAACAGATAAGCAATTACACCTCAACACACAGAGATGCATACACACAAAAATGTCCCCTTATCAGGACCTAGATAATAAACCTGAGAATGCAGCCAACTGCATCTTAGTTGATTGACAATGCATAACAGATTGCCTCAGTGTATTCTTTGGGAGAAGCAGAACATACAATTAAATAAAACTCGTTATTAAAAGCACCCCGCCCCCCCGAAAATAGATGTCAAACTCTGACTAGACAAATGTGGTATTTCAGGTGGAAAATTGAATGGACTTAATACGAGTAATATGAACAGTTGGTCCTGGAAGAGCTTATAAACTGTAAATATTGCTCACTGCCGATGCTAACACAATGATGAATGTATCAAAATATTAGTATCAAAAGACTGCTGGAATATATTTGCAATGTTGTGGAAAGCGTGAAGGGAAGTAGCTGTCCTTCCCATGGCTTTATATTAATCTCTGGGTACTGGTTGATAGCAGGGGCCACAAGCACTATAATTAGATTTTGGAAATGTATATAGAGAGGAGGAAATGGAATAATTAAGGTAAGCTATCAGATGCCTGTCCTCATCCTTTTTAAACAAGCCAGAAATATACCCTGCACTCGTTCAGCATGCAACCTTCAAGGGGAAAGGTGTCAGACACTGTAATTGGTAGAACTTGAATGCTGCTATACTGGTGTCCCTTTTTTAAGGAAACCTATTTTCCACACCAAAATTGATCCGGCAAGGTTGTTATCTCATAATGCACACCTAGAGAGGTACTGCAAGGCCTGAGGGTAGGGAATAGCAGGGCACTTCACAGCCTCGGCCACGCAGCCTGCAATGCCGCACCGTCTCTGGGGGAACTCTGCCGAGGCACAGGCTACGTGGTAAAATATATGTATATGAATGTGGAGAGTTTGGGTTTTGCTTTAAAACGTATGGGCGAGGCAGTGAAAATGTGCTAATGGTATGGCACCTGGCCGGGTCTGACAGCCGAACCAGGTGAGCATTTGCTTCTCCTTCTGGGGGTGCTAATAGGTGGGACAGCCTCTGCCCTCCCACTCACATGGCACCTCTGAAGGGCATACTGGCTTTTATTTAATTATCCTGCCCTCCTTAAACAACAGAGAAGAGCCATGGAACCTCAACAAACACAAAGAAGAATATTTTTGGTGTGGAAAATTATTTGACATTATTCTTAAATATTTAAAGGACACTGTCTGCTGGTTTGGAAATCCAGTGAATAATTTAATACTGTTTGACAGAATTTCTTTGGGTCAATTATTCAGTAAGTGGATTAATACATTCCGACTAAAACAAAGCACATCATTGCATTTTGGCGGGCATATCTCGTTACATCACATATTCCATGTCACATTGCATTGCAGAGGATACCAGCATAATCAAATGGGGCAACTTGACTTAGACAACGCAATCAGAATAATTTCCAAATATTTTTCAAAAGCTTCCTGTTCCTGACTGTTTCTCTACCTGGTCTGTCTGTATTTATCTGTCTAAAAAGGAAAATAACACAGCAAGAGATCTGATCAACTTATAAAAAAAAATCCAGTTGGAAACTGCCAGCAACTCTTGACCTCATTATAACCCTAAGCATCTTATCTATACCAAACACTTTAATTTTAGAATAGCATCTTTGAAGCCCCAGGGGAAGAGAGAGAGAGCATCTCTTGATGCTTGACAGCAATTCTCTAACACTGACATGGTCCAAAAGAGATATTCTTATCAAATCCTTCCGAGGAAAGCAGCTGTAATATAGGATCTCAAGGGCAATGGGGATACAATACAAGTTAAAAAAAGAAGGATCTCTGGGATTTCAAGAGATACGTAGAAAGCTTCAGAGGCAGCAGCTGTCTCACACCAGAAAGGGTTTTATAGATAGAACTGGAATGGAGGGTCCTGCATATGTTTCAAATCAGCAGCAGACACACCTTCCTCTCCTGTCCATCTACTTTCCATTCTTCCCCAACACGCTGTGAAGAAACAGGTGCGAGGTGCGACTTTCTTTCCAAAATCCTGTAATGCGAGGTGGGGAAGATGGTTGTTTTAGTAAAGCTAATTAAAATTTGGAATTTCTGTTTTGTGGGGAATTCTCAGATTCTTCAATTTTCCTTCAAGTAGAATAGGGATAAAAATCCAATGATCTCATAACTTTACTGTGAAAGAAATTATTCCAAAAGCAATTCTATGTTTATGCATTTTTTATAATTGTAGTATGAATATTGCAACACAGCGTAAAACCCTAAACCACGCTGTGGAGGACAAATACTCAATTTCATGGGAGTGATCTGAGTATAACATGATATTTACTTCATTAAAGTGAGCCTGCCTTCTTCAGGTCTCCAGCACGAGGCCAGCAGTCCTTTCTGCAGTCCCATTGCCCAGAACCGCTATGGCCACAAGCAAATCGGCCTTCTCGTACTCTTCAGGACCAGAAGAAGGAGGGTCAAAGGCAACTGAAGAGAAAAAAAAAAACAACCTGCAAAGGCCAAACAAGCTGGGATGTGGAAATGGGCAGGCTCTTAGTCTAGTCAAATTTTCTTACCTGTTTTTTTGTTTTGTGCTAGGGATCACAGTACAGCCCATGGTGATGCTTCGTGCTGGTCATTTTAGACATCCAAAGTAGTTTTCCCCATTCTATCAACTGGAAAATGGAGTCAAAGGGAAAGTCATTGACCTAAGAGCTTAGTGGTTAGTGGCGTGAACCTACACAGAGCTAGCAGTTGTAGCAGTTAGCAAGGTTTGAGGTTGGAGTGGCTGAGACGGAGCCCTCAGATTTGCACTGACAGATTGCAGTGCTTCCACAAACAAACTTCCACGTCCCAGACCCCCCCACAGAGCTCCTTTGCAGCAAGGTAAGAAGTGGCAAGCATTGATGAAAAGGTACAGCCCGAGTTCTCCTTTAAACTGTTCAGTAGTAAACATTAATATTGAAAACCCTATAACCACCTAAAAATGCATAACATGAAGGCATCCTATCCTTGACTTTTATGCACATAACTTTACTCTGAGTCGGCCTCATTAAGCCTAGCTGAATAATTCGAATTCTCAAGTGTTTGGAGGGTTGAGGGTTGAATAAACATAGCAGAAAGCTCACAGATGCTCCTTACATTTTTAAAACATGTACTTCCGAAGAGACATTACAAGAAATATTTTAAAGGCAATAGTTCAATAGGCTGAGATGAGAAAACGTACGCTACCGAGAACCTCCGGCTTGTGTCGCCCAGCCACCTCGCCTGATGTAGGGGTGTTAAGGCATAGGGAAATGCGGCTGAGCCGACGAGTTTGAAATTTTCTAAATTCCGTCACCTCACGCTGAAAGGAGATGGAAATTCATTTCAGGGAGGGCTAAAGCGTACGTGTATAATATAGATGGAGATATACATACATATATATATGTGCGCCACGCACGCGTGTGTGCCCCGGGAGG